CAGTTGGAGTTGAAAGGCGTCGAGGGCGGGGATTGAAACCGAGGGGTGGGCGGAGAGACACGCCGGGAAAAGTCCTTAAGGAACGGCGTTCACCACGGCGACGCGGTCGTATGAGGACCAGTGTATAGAACGCGCCTACGATCTCCAGAAAGTTCCTGCTCGCGCACGACTCGAGCTGCGACCACGCGACGGTCGTGCCGACGCGCACGGTGAGGTCCGCGGGGACGAAGCGCATCTCGTCGATCCATATCTTCGCGCTGCTCGGGGGCGGCGGCGGGGTTGAAATCGTCGTCGTCGTCGCCGTCGTCGCCGAGGAATTGGAATTGGAATTGTTGTTGGTCGGGGACGTGGTCGTGATGAGCGGCGAGGCCGTCCGCGCGCCGCCGCCTACCCACGTCGTCGGCCGCGCGATCCTCTGCTCTTCCTGCGACGCGACGCGACGCGACGCGCGACGGACGATGGAGGGGCGCGGTCAGCGGGAGGAGGGGCGCGGGGCGCGCGCGGCGGGCGTTCACGCGGCGGGACGAGGAAAGATGGAACGATGAACGAACGTCGACGCGACGCGCGCGCGGGGCGGCCGGGCGGGGCGCGCACGTCGTCGTCGTCGCTGGATTCGTCCGTCTCCGCGAGCGCGAGCTCTTCGTCCCACGTCGGCGGCGTGTCGCGCGCGATCGACGGCGGCGACGTCGCCATCGCGACGGCGACGCGAGTGGGCACGACGCGCGTGGTTCGCGACTCGACTTGACTCGTCGAAAAAACAGAACGTGTCGGATCGATCCGCCGCGCGCCAGCCTCGCGCCGCCGCGACGCGAGGATCGGACGCGGGGTGCGGATATCCCCGCGCGCGGCTCGAGCGAGTCCTCGCCGCGACGGACGACGCGACCGCGCGCGCGACCGTGCGACGACGCGGCCGGCGAGCGCGCGCGCGCGACGCGTTCGTTTGAACGCGAGCTCGATCGATCCAAACTGGTCGGGGCGTCGTCGCGAACCGACCCGCGCGCGCGCCGACCGGGGGGGGGCCGATAGACAACTGAAGGTGCGCTCATTCGATCATACTAAAAAACCATAGAGAGTACACGTACGCGTACACGTACGTACAAACTGTCGTTCTCTTCGTCCGACAGTTCCGAGGAAAGCCGCTTCACACCATCCCGCGCGCGCGCGCCGTCATGGGCCGCTACGACGACGTCCGCCGCGCGGGCGGGCTGAACATAAACCCGTGGGTCCCGCGCATCGCGTGGGCGACGTGGCTGGCCGGGCTGCTCGTCTTCGTCGTCGGCGTCTCGCGCGTCGCGCCGCGCGGCGAGGGGGACGGATCTACGGGTACAGTAGTGGCGGAATAATCGACTGGAGGTACCTGGCGTTTCTGTTCGAAAACGTCGACCCGTACTTCTTCGCGTCCGCGGGCGTCGCCGCCGCGATCGGGCTCAGCGTCCTCGGCGCGGCGTGGGGGATCCTCATCGCGGGGAGCTCGCTGATCGGCGCGGCGGTGCGCACGCCGAGCCTCGCGAGCAAGAACCTCATCTCTATCATATTCTGCGAAGCCGTCGCCGTCTACGGCGTCGTCGTCGCCGTCGTCCTCTCGACGAAGACGACGGTCGCGCCGATTCGTTTACCCGACGGTTCGTATTCCCCGCGCGCGATGGCGAGCGGGTACGCGACGTTCGCCGCGGGGCTCACCGTCGGCCTCGCGAACCTGTTCTGCGGCGTGTGCGTTGGCGTCGTGGGCAGCGCCGCCGCGCTCGCCGACGCGGTGCGTTTCTCTTCTGTTTCTCAGTCGCGCCTCGGTTTCAAAAGTTGACCGCGGCTCCTTTCGACTGATCGATGGAGATATTTTTGATCGCGACGACGTCGCGTCTCTCTCGCCCGCGCGCAGCAAAACCCGACGCTGTTCGTGAAGGTGCTCGTGATCGAGATCTTCGGCAGCGCGCTGGGGTTGTTCGGGGTCATCGTCGCGATCATCATGAGCGGCTCGATCGACTTCAAAGGCGCGTGACGGGCGCGCAGGAGCGAAGAGAGCCGGGGCCGGGAGTTAGTTACAAATCTCATCACTGTGAATCTATCGCTGCTCGTACGAGTAACAAAAAGAAAGAACCGCGTCGAAGACGGTCGCACTCGCGCTCGCGCGCCGCGTCGCGCGCTGTGACGTCATGGCGCCTCCGTCGACGCGGTTCCTCACCGCGTTCCACGTTGTCAACGCCGCGGTGCGTCCCGTCCCGCGCTCGCGTCGTCGTCGTCGTCGTCGTCGTCGTCGTCCCCGCCCCCGCCGCGGCGTCCCTCGCTTCGAACGCGGCACGCAACCCTAACCAACACACACGCGTTCGCGTCTCGCCTCTCGTCCCTCCCTCCTCCAGGTGATCCTCTCGTACCCGTTGGTCATCAGCGAGTGGGCGAAGACGCGGTACCCCACGAAAGCGTCCTCGCTGACGTCGTGGGAGCGACAGAGCGCCGCGGGTCTCTTAGCGATGCTCGTGGCGCGATTCTTTCGACGACAAAATCTCGATCAGGTGCGTTCTATACACTGGTTACCATACGACCCCGTCGGCGTGGTGAACGCCGTTCCTTAAGGACTTTTCCTGGCGTGTCTCTCCGCCCAACCCTCGCTTTCAATCCCCGCCCGCGACGCCTTTCAACTCCACCTGACGCCTTTGAACTCCACCCCGACGTTCGCTCGTACGGAACGACCCTCAGTGGGTCGCGGACGGCGTCTTCCACGCGAAGGTATCCCTCGCGGTGCTGACGTACCTCATCGACCCGGTGCTGTGCGCGTGGTACCTCGCCATCGTCTTCGTCATGTTCCTGCACCTCCCCGTGCCTAAGTACGAGGGCCCGAGCGAGGTCATCGCGTTGACGCCCGCGGCGTTTCGAAAACGCGTGCTCGAAGACTCAGGCGCGTTCTCCTCACGCCGGTCCCCATACGACCGCGTCGGCGTGGTGAACGCCGTTCCTCAAGTACTTTATCTCCCGGCGTCTCTCTCCGCCCAGGGTCCCTCGGTTTCAATCCCCGCATACGATACCTTTCAACTCCATCTGACGCCTTTCGACTCCGCCCCGACGTCGCTTTGAATCACGGAACGACCCTCAGTCGTCGACGGCTCCACGTGGCTCGTGCACTTCCGCGCGGGGTACTCCGCGAAGAGCCGCGCGCTGGAGCCGACGTTCGCGGACCTCAGCGTGCGATACGCGACGCCTTTGCAAAAGTTCGCGAGCGTGGACGTGGGGCGGTGGCCGAGGGAGGCGGCGGCGCGCGGCGTGGACGTGGACGCGTTCGGGAACAACTCGCAGGCGCGTCCTCCAGTCGTCACACTGGTCCCCACACGACCGCGTTCGCGTGGTGAACGCCGATCCTTAAGGACTTTTCTTCCCAGCGGTCGTTTCTCTCCGCCCAGGGTCCCTCGCTGCTTTCAATCCCCGCCCCGACGCCTTTCGACTCCGCCCCGACGAAACGACTCTCAGGTGCCGTCCATCGTGATGTATCACGCGGGGAAGGAGACGCTGCGCGCGCCGCAGCTGTACGAGGACGGGAGCAGGGTGCTCGGCGGGGGGAGGATGCGCGAGGTGGATCTGCTGACCGGGTTCGAGATCGAGAGCAGATATCGGCGGACGCGAGGGAAGGACGCGACGTCGAAAAAGGCGGAGTGACGACGCGATGAGAGCGTTGTAGCATCTGAACTGACGCGCTCACGCGCTCACGTCGGTTCAGCGTACGGTCTGCTTCGTTCGCTCACGCCGCCGCGAGCTCGGCCTCGAGTTTGTCCACAAACCCTTGCGCGTGGGTATCGCCGCGCTCCACCGCGACGCGGTACCACTTCAGCGCCTCCGTTTTGTTCACCGCCACGCCGCACCGGCCGTCGTGGTAGATGAGCCCGAGCTTATACGCGGCATATTTGTCGCCCAACTCGACCGCTTTGAGGTACAGCCCGAGTGCCTTCTTTTTATTTTCCTCCGCGCCAGGGCCGTGCTCGTAGCTAAGCGCGAGCTGGCGGGTCGCTCCGGCGTGCCCGCACCCGGACGCTCTTTCCCACCACTCGAACGCCTTCGTGAAGTCTCCCTTCACGCCGTACGCAAAGCGGTAACAGCGTCCGATCCAGTACATGGCGTCGGCGTCTCCAGTCGCCCTGTGCCACCAGTAGAACGCATGCTCATACTCCTTCGCGTAGTAAAGCCCTTCGCCGAGCTCGAACAAAGCACTGGGAGAGCCCCCAGGCAACGACGCGTCAGACTTCTCCGCGTCCCTCCACACCTTGCTCACCTGGGCGAGCGCGACGCGGTCTCGCGGGTCTTCCCCGAGGTGCGAGAACACGACGGCGGCGACGTTCTCGGGGATCGCGTTGTAACCGGTGCTCGAGCGCGTCCGCATGGCTCGGATCTGGGCGGGGGGCGGCGGCGGGGGCGCGCGAAAGACTGAAGCTTTTTCCTCGTCAGCGTCAGGTTCTGTCAGGTTCCCTGCTTAAGTCTGCAACGCCTCACAGATATCCTTCCGAGAAGGCCGCGCCCCGCGCCAGACTCGACGCGCGCGAGCGCCCGCCGCGCGTCGTCGACCGTCGTATCGCGTCATGGAGTTCCTCAGGAAGCTCGGGGACGACGTCGGGAACATGCTCCTGGACGACGACGAGGATCGAACTGACAGCGCGGGGGAGGAGCCTGAGGGATCGGACGACGCCGACGCGCGTCGTCGTCGTCGTCGTCGTCGTCGTCGTCGCGGCGACGAAGATGGACGAGGCGAATCCCGGGCGGGGCGCGACGACGACGGCGAGGACGACGACGCCGCGTCCGGGTCCGGCTCGGACGACGACGACGACGAGCCGCTCATCCCCGACGCGGTCTGGGGCTTCGCCGCGAAGCTCCGCGACGCGACGCGCGCGACGGTCGCGTCCGTGAGGCACGACGTCCGTCGCGGCATTGAGACCGTGCGACGAGATCTGACCGAGTTCAACGACGAGGTCCGCGACGACGTCGTCTTCGTCGGCGGCGAGGTCATGGAGAGCGTCGACAGAGGCGGCGGCGGCGGCGGTCGCGACGGTTCGGGTCGCGGCGACGGTTCGGATTCCGACGGCGACAGCGGGAGCGAGTACGGCGACGACGCGTTCGAGGCGTTCGAAGCCGCGGACGCGGTGCTCGAAGACGTCGGCGCGAAGGTGGAGCGGTTCGGCAACAGGTGAGCGCGCGAGACTGCTTTCCATACGACCCCGTTCGCGCGGTGAACTCCGTTCCTCGAGGACTTTCCCCTCTCGCTCTCTTCGCCCCGCGCCTCGCTTTCGACGCCGACCGGCGAGACGCGCGACTGACCCTCGCGCTCGCCCGCCCGCGCGACGCCGCCCGCGACAGGGCGTTTCAAGTCGCCGGGACTTTTCTGAGCCGCCTCAAGGAGGAAGCGCTCGGGGAGGACGCCGGCCCCGACCCGAACTCGCACGCGGCGCGGTTCCGTAGGAGAGGCGACGACCGAGGAGGCACACACGCGAGCGCGAGAGGCGACCGCGCGGCGGAGATTCGCGAGCGCGTCGCGTCCGCGAAGAAACAGCCGCCGACGTTTGAACAACGCGTCGCGGCGATTCAGGTGCGTTCTATACACTGGTCCCCATACGACCGCGTCGGCGTGGTGAACGCCGTTCCTTAAGGACTTTTTCCGGCGCATCTCTCCGCCCACCCCTCGGTTTCAATCCCCGCCCTCGGCGCCTTTCAACTCCAACTGACGCCTTTGAACTCCACCCCGACATTCGCTCGTATGGAACGACCCTCAGAGAGACAGCGGGACGTACTGCGACGAGCCGAGCGACGTCGCGGCGTTCGAGGCGTGGCGGCGCGGGAGCGGCGGCGGCGACGGCGACGGCGGGTTCGACGTGGACGCGCCCAAGACGCGCGAGGAGATCGACGCCGTGCTGGCCGGCAACGCGTTCATGCGGGAGCTGCACGGTCGCATCGTCCCCGTCGTCGTCGAACGCGAGGTGTTTTGGTCGCGGTATTTCTACCGCGTGCGCGAGCTGAAGATGGTCGTGGAGAGAGAGAAGGCGGGGATGGCGGAGAAGGCGGCGGCGGCGGTGGCACCAGCTGTCGTCGTGCCTTCTCCGGCGGAATCCGAACCGGCGCGAGACGCGGCGACGGAACGCGAACCGGCGCTCGCGGCTCCGCCCCCCGCGCCCGAGCCCGAGCCCGCGCCCGCGCCCGCGCCGGAGTCGCCCCCCGCGCCCGCGCCCGATCCCGATCCCGAGCCCGCGCCGGAGTCGCCCCCCGCGAGCGCGAGCGCGCCGACGACGACGGGCGGCGACTCCGGCGTCGACGACGAGTCCGTCCTCGGCGAGAGCGACGGCAGCTGGACCGCGGTGCGGTCGCCGAGCGCCGCCGCGAAGGGAGAGGAAAAGGCGACGGCGACGGCGACGGCGACGGCGACGGCGTCGGCGTCGACGTCGGCTTCGCCGTCGCCGCCTCCGGAGGCGAAGTCGCGGTCGCCGAAGTCGCCGAGCGCGGCGGAGGAAACGCCAGAGCCAGAGCCAGAGCCAGAGTCGAAGCCGGCGGAGGAGAAGGTCGAGTCGCCGGCGGCTGCGGAAAAGTCGAAGAAGCCGGAGACGCCGCCGGAGACGCCGACGCCCGCGGCGGCGGCGGACGACGACGACGAGGACGATTTCGATGAGGACTGGGGCATGGACGCGGACGATTGAGTCGAGCGCGGCGTCGACGCGATGGGAGGGAAGGACGATTACTGTGCTGTGCTGTACTGTAGTAGCGCGCTTTGTAAGCGAGCGTCGACGACGCTGAATGAAAATCTGACGTCGCGCGTCGCGTCGTCAAACAGAACGCGTCGACAGCTGGGTGCGATCTTCTTTCAAAGCTTCCCGCGCGGCCGCTCGCGCCTCGCGCCGTCGTCATGCCCTCCGGCGACGACGACGACGTCGTCGACGCGTCCGAGGACCACCCGCTGACGCTCCGCGACGACGACGTCGCCGGCGCCGGCGCCGGCGACGCGAGAGGCCGCGATGTCCGCGGCTCGATGAGATCCGACGACGCGTCGTCGTCGCGTCGTCGTCGTCGCCGCCGCGGCCTCCTCCGCCGCCTCCCTCGCGTCAACGCGTGGACCGTCCTCGCCGCCGCGGTCGTCGTCCAAGCCTGCGCGGGGTTGACGTACTCGTTCGCGGTGTACAGCGACGCGCTGCGCGTCGTGTACCCGCGCCAGCGCGATGTCGACCTCCTCGGAAGCTTCAAAGATTTCGGCGCCTACTTCGGCGTCGCAGGCGGCGTCCTCTACGACGCCTACGGCCCGTCCGTCACGCTCGTCGTCGGCGCGCTTCTCCACGCGCTCGGATACGTCGGCGTGTACGCCACGGTGACGCGCCGTTGGCCGGGGTTTCGCGCGCGTCCGCCGCTGTGGCGCACCGCGGGGATCATCGCGGTCGCGTCGAACGGCAACTCGCTGTTCGACACCGCGGCGCTGTGCGCGTCGATGGCGAACTTCCCGACGCGGAAAGGGCTCGTCTCCGGCGTCCTGAAGGCGTACCTGGGGCTCTCCTCCGCGATATTCGGACAGCTGTACGACGCGTTCGTGCCGGAGAGAGAGAGCGGAGGAGCGCGGAGGAGCGCGGCGTTCGTGTTGATGATCGCGTGCGTCGGCGGCGCCGTCGGCGTCGCGATGTCGCCGCTCGTGCGAATCGTGCCCACTCATCCGCGCCGCCGCCGGCGCGCCGCCGAAAGCGCCGCGATGTTCCGGAGGGTGATCCTCGCGCTCGTCGCGCTCGTCGCGTGGGTCACGCTCGCGGCGACGGTGAACGACCCGGATTTGATCGGCGCGTCGATCCCGGCGTGGGTCAACGTCGCTTTGACGACGGGGATGCTGTTAGTGTTGCTGTCGCCGTGGGCGCTTCTGAGGGGCGTCATCTTCGGAGCGGGCGGAGGCGGCGGATGCGGACGCGCGGGGGGGAAGAGGGCGCGGCAGGAGGAGGACGACGAGTTGCGCGCGGGGTTGTTGCCCGGCGGCGACGAGAGGACGAGCGATGAGGAGGAGGAGGAGGACGAAGAAGAAGAAGAAGAAGAAGTCGAAGAAAATCCCGCGCCGCCCGCGCTGCTTCGCTCGCCGCCTTTACTGCGAGGCCAGACCTCGTCCTCGCTCACGCTCGCCCAGTCCGCGCGGAGCGTCGAGTTCTGGATCTTATTCGCCACGCTGACGCTCTCCTCGGGCGCAGCGACGACGCTCGTGAACAACCAGGTGCGTTCTATACAAAAGTTTTTCACCCATCGCCCGGTTTCAACATTTGATCGCTACCCCTTTCAACTGATCGATGAACTACTGTATTTTTGTATGGAATGGCTCTCAGGACGTCGTCGCCGCCGCCTGCGGCGCGTCGGACGCGGCGTCCTCCGCCGCGCTCGTGTCGCTCTTCAGCGTGTGCAACTGCGTCGGGCGGCTGGTTGAGGGGCTGTGCTCGGACGCGGGCGCGCGCGCGGGCGCGCCTCGGGCGGCGACGCTGATGGCGGCGCAGTCGCTCGTGGCGGTCGGGATAGCCGTCGTGTGCGCGTCGCCGACGCCGGGGGGGGTGTTCGCCGCGGTTGCGATCAACGGGTTCGCGCTCGGGGCGCACTGGTGCGTGCGTTTTTTTGTTTTCAACCGTTTGGTTTTGTTTTCAACCGCGCGTTCGTCCACGTCAGCAAGAACCACCAACCAACCAACCGATCGATCGCGTGACTCATCGCTTCGACCTATCTTTGATCAATCGCAGGAGTTTCCTTCCGAGCGCGTGCACGGAGATATTCGGCCCGACGCACCTCGGCGCGGTGTACGGCGGTTTATCCCTCTCGCCGATGATCGGGTCGTACGTGCTCAGCACCGTCGTGTTCGGGCGCGCGTACGACGCCGCGGAGGCGCGCGACGGCGGCGGAGAAGGCGGCGAGTGCCGCGGCGCCGGGTGTTTCCGCGCCGCGATGATGACGTGCGTCGCGTGCTGCGTCGCGTCGTTGGCGCTGACGTGGCGGCTGTGCGCCCGAACGGCGCGCGTGTGCGAGCACGCGCGAGAGGAGGGAAGGCGCGCGGCGTCGCGCGTCGTGTAGCGGTGTTTTAGACGCACTCAGTACGTATTGAACGCGACGTTAACGCGTATCTACGCAAAAAGAATTTCTTCGGGTATCGTCGTCACCACGCGCGGGCAGTGCACTTTGTGCGGCTCGCCGTCGCCGTGTTTCCAGTGCCACTTCTGGCATTTCCTCGAGCAGTACCGCTCGCCGCGGCACAGCTTGCACGTCCAGTGCGCGTACTTCCCACACCCGGAGCAGCGGCGGAGTTGCTTCAGGTGCGCTTTGACCTCCGCCACGTCTTCTTCAGCGAATTTAACTTCCTCGTCCTTCACCGCCAAAGTCCGTTTAAGCACGTCCTTCGCGAGTCGAAGGTTCTTCTCGAGGCCGCACACGCCGTGGAGGAAACACAGGGCGAGGTTGTGCTGAAAGCATATCGCCCTGTGCTCGGGGGGTGGCCCGAAGACGTGCGCCACCCTGGCCTCGCTGCTGAGACGAAGGCCGGAGAATTTGATGACGAGGTCCAGGAGTCCTGCTCTTGCGGATCTGATGTCTTTGACGTATTTGACGGCGTCGTCGCAGCCGGCGGCCGCAGCCTTCAAGGCCAAGTGTTCCGCCTTCACGCAGTCCCTATCGACGCCTGCTCCAGTTATGTGGTAGTGGGCGAGAACACTCTGCGCTTCAGGATCCCCCTTCTCAGCCGCCACTCGTAACATCTCGATACTCTTCTGCTCGTCTTGCTCTACCCCGACGCCTTCTTCGTAGCAACGGGAGAGGAAAAAGGCAGCATCGGCAGTCTCGGGGACGTCGAGCGCGACAATCTTCTTGAAGGACTCTATCGCCCGCTTCATCTTGAACTCACGCTGGGGTCCCTCCCCGTCGAGTCCCTTTTCGATATCGCTTATCGCCACGGTCATGATCGCGGGCGGATACTCCAGATCGGCGCTCTTGTATCCCCACCAGTTCGACTCTTTCTTGTCCGCGACGACGCCGCCGGTGCCGTCTCGAAAGTGCAACGCGAGCTTCCACGCGGACTCCCCGCAGTCGCCATCGAGCGCCTTCGTCATGAGGGCTCCTATTTCGTCCGGGTACTTCGACAGATCGTACAATATGTCTAGCGCGGCGGGATGTCCCAGCTCCTTTGCTTCGTCGAACCAATACTCGCTCGCGCCAACGTCTCGCTTCACGCCTCCGGTTCCGTGGCTGAAGTGACAGGCGAGCTCCCACGCGGACGCGCCGCAGCCGTTCCTGGCCTTCTCCATGAGGGTCCCGATGTTCTCCGGTACCTCGAACTCGGAATTCCCGAAATAATTTCGAAACACGGATTCGGAGTCTCGACACCGCCACTGCGCGGCGGCGTGCCCCCACCGCCTCGCCTTCAGGAACCACCGCTCGGCCTCGTGCTCGTTCGGCTCGACGCCGCCGGTCCCGTGCTGGAAGTGTTGGTATAACTCCCACGCGGCGTCCCCGATCCCGCGCTTCGTCATGAGCTTTCTGATGTTCTGCGGATACGCGCGAGTCGACTCCATCGCGCGCGCGCGGCGACGACGGCGCGCGGGGAAAGATGAGGCACCTCGCGGCGGCGCGACGAGACCGGACCCGTCCCAGAGAAAAGAACTGACAAGACCCCTCTGCTCGCGCGCCTCGATTCGTTGGAACCGACGAAACCCTGGCGCGGAGGAACGACGAACGACGACGACGTACACACGGCCGAAGGTACGTATATTACAAATATATACATGATGAACACATCATAATGATATATACAACATAATCATCACCACGCGCGACGACGACGACGACGACGCTCATCGCGCAGCGCCGGCGGCGGCGACGACGTTCGGCATGTACCCAAATACCTTCTTCTTCTTCTTCTTCTTCTTCTTCTTCTTCGAAATACCTTCTTCTTCTTCTTCTTCTTCTTCTTCTTCTTTTTCTTAAGGTATATACAAAATGAACACGTTGGTGCCCCGTGGATAGCCCCGTGGGTCTCGCTCGAGCGCGAGCGAGCCCCGTGGATAGCCCCGTGGGTCTTCATCACCACGCCGCGCGACGACGAGACGCTCATCGCAGTGGAAGCGTTTTTTTGGAAGCGACGTTCGGCATGTATCCCTTCAGCGCGCCGACGCCGAATCCCTTCGCCGTCGCCGTCGACGCCAGCGTTTTGGACTGCCGCGCGTCCCACGCCGCGGCCACGCCCTCGGCGGTCTCGCAGTCGTGCGTCCCGCCGATCGTGATCCCCGCTTCGTCCGCGGCGTACGTGCACGTGCCGCTCGCTCTCGAGATGGAGAACCGCACCATCTTACATCTGTCGCCCGCGTGGTGGGAGACGACGTATCGTCGCGAGGAGGAGGACGATTCGTCGCCCTCCTCCTCTTCCTTCGTCGCGTTCAACGCGACGACCAGACCGCCGCTCGCGGACGTGGTCTTCTTCTTCGCGTACGACGCCCCGCTCCCCGCGATCCACTTCCCGAACATCTCCACCTCGTCCACGATGAAATCGCTCGCGTCGTCGCACGCGAACGACGCGCCCGACGCGGTGACCGTCGTCTTCGGCAGCGCGCCGAACCGCGCGCCCTCGTCGTCCGAACGCCGCAGCAGCTCGCGCATCTCGTCGCGCAGCTCCGCCGCGTCCGCGGCGTCGCCGCCCGCGCTCTCGTACGCGTCGTGCGCGCACTGCGACGTCGCGGTGACCGTCTTCGCGTCCGTCCAGTAGCACGTCTTGACGCTCTCGAGCGCCTTTTCCTCGTAGTGCTCCTTCTTCGCGTTCTCCGTCGCGATCGCGCTCTGCTCGTCGAACGACATCTCCTCGTCCGAGTCGCCGGTGAAACGCGTGCAGATGTCGTGCGCGTACGCGGCGACGACGCTCGAGAGCCCGGTCGGGTCGACGAGCGACGCCACCTCCGCGGCGGCGCGGATGCCGTCCGCCTCCGTCTCGATCGACGTCATCGAGTCGAGCGCGCCGAGGATATCCGTCGACGTGTCGTAGACGTCCATCGCCGTCTCGCCCACTTTCCTGATCGCGTTCGCGGTGTCCCCCGCGACGGAGATGGCGGTCTGCGCCGCATCGATCCCCGCCTTCGCGGGGACCGTCGCGGCGCTGGACGACCCCAGCGTCGCGAAGAATAGGATCGTCTCCCCGACGGAGATGATCTGATCCGCGGTGACGGACGCGCACGTTAAGTCGTCGACGGCGGCGCCCATCCCGCACCCGACCCACTGCACGCCGTTCACGATCGGCGGCCCGCCCCAGCACACGGGGCCGACGCCGTCAAACCCCTCCGGGCACTGCTTGTAGCACAGCCCCGCGTCTTCCTCGTACCCGGGCGCGCACTGCGCCTTGGTCATGCCGGGCGAGAGCTTGACGTGCTGCGTGCACGACGGCGCGACGCCGCCTTCGAAGCCGAGGCTCTGGCAATTCGCCGAGCACAGGAACCCGATCGTGTCGTACCCGGACGGGCAGTACTCGTAGCACTGCCCGGCGATGTCCTCCTTGTTCTGGCTCGAGCACACGGACCCGCCGCACTCGAGACCGGCCCAGTGCGGCCAGTACGACGTGCTGCTGACCCACTGGCACCCCGGGCTGTGCGCGCGCGAGTACACGGAGCTCGGTTTGTTGCACAGCAACCCGTGGTCTTCCCAGCCGCTCGGACAACTCTTGTGGCAGTCGTACCCGAACCGCTCCCAGCCGTCCTCGCACTTGTCGTAGCAGTACACGCCGCCGGCGATGATCTCCTGGTGGTCCTCGCAGTGTTGCGGCAGCGTCCCGGCGTCGCGCGGGTACGTCTCTTTCCAGCAGAACCCCGAGCCTTCGTTGACGCCCTCGTCGGATTCGAAAAAGGAAAACCCGCCGTCCTGGACGAGCCCGGCGACGTGCGTCGCGTCGCCCCACGCGCCGCTCGCGCCCTCGAACAGGCTCGTTAAGCCGTCCAGCGAGAACCTGCCGAGCCGAGGCACGACGTCCGGGTTAGTAGGAGGGACGTAGGGCACGCCCAGGTTCGAGACGGAGCCGTCGTCGTTCTTCACGATCTCGTTCAACGCGCGCTTGTGCTTTCGCTTCGCGCGAATGCCCGCGCGATGCCGCGTGCGATTCTCCGCGACGTCCGCGTCGATCATCGCCGCGCGCTTCGGCGCCGACGTCGTCGCCTCGTACATCGCCGCCGTCGACGCGTCGCACGCCATGTCGGCGTCGGCGGCGGCGGGATGACTCGCGACGACGCACGCGTTCTTCGTCCCGTTCGTCGCCTTTTGCATCTTGTAAAACGTATCCGACCACTCGCGGTTGACGTTCGCCGCCTGATACTCCGCGGCGGTGCGGTTCTTCGCGATCGACGCTTCGATCGCGTCGTTGGCGTCCTTCACCGCGGTCGCGATCTCTTCCGGCGTGAGGGTCGTCGCCGCCTTCGCCTCCGACGCGAACGTTTTCGATTTCGACGGGGGCGTCGAGTCGACCTTCGGGCCGTTCTATACGAGCGAATGTCGGGGTGGAGTTGAAAGGCGTTAGATTGAGTTGAAAGGCAACGCGGGCGGGGATTGAAAGCGAGGGATGGGCGGAGAGACACGACGGGAAAAGTCCTTAAGAAACGGCGTTCACCACGCCGACGCGGTCGTACGGGGACCAGTGTATAGAACGCACCTTCTTATCACCCGCGCGGGGGTGGTGCGCGTTCACCGCGAGCAACGCCGCGTCCACCGCCGATTTCGTCTTCGTCGACGACGCGCTAAACCTTCCCTTATGGTCTAGGGAATGTATACTGGAGTACACTGGGTTGACGCCCTCATCTGGGTTGACGCCCAGCCTCCCCAAATCGGGCGCCGCAGCAGACGATGAAGAAATATCTCCAACGCGGCCCCGCCCCCACGTCGTCGTCGTCGCCGCCGCGGCGACGCCGCACGATACGAGCGCGACGAGCGCGAGCGCGGCGATCCAGACCTTGCGCGATGCCCCGCGAGGGGTCTCGCGCGCGAGCGGACGCTCGAGAAGAGGGGAACCCTCCTCCGCGGAGGAGAGCGCTCCTGATCGCGTGACTGATGACATGGCGGGGCGTTCGGAATTAGGTCGCGCGGCGTTCGATCGAACCGCGGGGAGCGCGCGCGCGCGGCGCAAACGGTCCTCGAGAGCGCGCGGGTTCGCGCGAGCGACAACGCGGGAGGACGCCGCGCGGGGTTCGACTCGTTCGGGTCGAGTCGTATCGCGGCGCGGAGCGTGGACGCGCGCGCGAATGTGAACGAATCGTTCGTTCGGGCGTTCGCGACCTTTCGATCTTCTTTTTCGCGCGCGGTAATAACACCCGCGCGGGGCGGCTGTTTGACCGACTCACTGCCCGGTGAACCGCCCTGCTTGATCGCGGGCCTGCAGCAGCAGGCCTTGAGCAGCAGCAGCAGAGCGCACTGGCATGCTGACTGGATGACTCAGCTCGTGCTGCGTCGGATTATTCGTTCATCAGCAACGGCAGAGGCGACGCGCGCGACGCGCGGCGGCACGGCGACCGGCGCGGCGGCCGCGATGCCGCGCCTCGCGCCCGCGCGCGGCCTCGTCGACGCGCGGCCGCGCGCCCCCCGCGGCGCGCGCGTCGTCGCGGACGCGACGGCGATGCGCCCGTCGCCGTCGCCGTCGTCGAAAACGTCGTCACGAATCTCGAGGAAGCCGCGGCGGTCGCGCGCGTCGTCGTCCGCGCCGCCGACGTCGTCCCCGAAGTCGTCGTCGTCGCCGCCGCCGACGGTGCTCGTCGGCACCGGGTTCGTCGCGTCGCCGCGCGGCGTCGGGAAGAGCCCCGGCAAGCCGCCGCCCTCGCCGCCGCCGCCGCGCGAGCCGCCGTCGACGACGTCGGAATATTCTTCGAATGATGATCTCGAGTCGCGCGTCGTCGCGCGCGAGGCGGTCGCCATGTGGGCCGCCGCCGCGGTGCTCGGCCCGCTCCTCGACCACCAGCACTCGCGGTTCGACGTGTTGCACTACGCCGATCCCGACGTGCTCGATTTCCGCGCGATGATCGCCGCGCAGCTCGCGACGCACGCGGACGTCGCGCGATGGGCGGCTCGCGTCTCGGACCACGCGATTCCGAACGAGAAGATCGCGTCTCTCCTCGAGCTCGTCTTCGCGCGAGAGACGGGCGCGCTAGAGTCCGCGTGGTGGGTCCCGCTGTTGTTCGGCGGCGCGGGCGTCGTCATCGGCCTCGGGCACACCACTCTGGACGGGATCCGGCTGACGCGCGCCGCGAAGGAAGACGAGCGGTTCATCGCCGCGGCGAGCTCGACGACCAAGGTGCGTTCTTACACTGGTCCCCATTGACCGCGTTGGCGTGGTGAACGCCGATCCTTAAGGACTTTGCCCGGCGTTTCTCTCCGCCCACACCTCGCTGCTTTCAATCCCCGTCCTTGACGCCTTTCAACGCCAACTGACGCCTTTCAACTCCACCCCGCCATTCGCTTGTATAGAACGGCCCTGACGGAGACGCGGCGTTCGCGGAGGAAAAACGCGCGTTCGCGCGTCGATGCCCGGGCGCGCCGAGGACGTCGTTCGAGCCGTCGTGGCCGGTCGTCTTCGCCGCGATCTCCGTCTTCGCGACGCAGTACGCCGCGTCCGGGGTGCTGACGACGACGACGCCGCCGATCCCGTTCCCCGACCTCCCGAGCCGCGCCGCCGACGCGATCTTGTTCCTCTGGGGCCTCGGCGCGTGGGCGGCGTTCGATAACACGAAGCAAGGGTTCGCGATGGCGACGCTGACCGCGGTCGCGGGGCCGGCGACGGAGATCGTGCTCATCAACGCGTTTCATCTGTACGCGTACACGAGCCCGGATTTTTTTGGGATCCCGGCGTGGATCCCGTGGGTGTACTTTTGCGGCTCGCCGGCGGTGGGGCTGCTGTCGAGGGCGGTGCGAAGAGAACTCAGGTGCGATTTCGTTCTTTTACGTTTCGCCCGCCCGACCCGCGCGCAAACCCCTCGGTCCGGTCGATTTCGAAATCCGACGCGCGCGACCCCTTTCATCTGACCGACGCGTCGATCGATCGATCGATCGATCGCCCGCAGAGACGCGAACGCGCTGCCGCGGCCGACGGTGGAGATTATACCGGCGGCGCCGGCGAAGAAGTGGACGCCGCCGCCGCGCGGCGACCGCGTGCGCGGGAGACGGCACGGCGCGACCGCGGTGGAGCAGCCCGCGCGCGGGAAGATGACCGTGGTGCTCGCGCCGCCGGAGACGAATAAGAGCGGGGGTGGCGCGGCGAGGGAAGGAGGCGCCGGCCCGTCGGGGCGAGACCCGATCACCGCTGCCGCCGCCGCGCACGACCTCTCCGCGCGGCCGGCGGCGACCGCCGCCCCTCCTTCTGCGCCCCGAGGAGCGCCGTCGTCGTCGTCGAAGAATAAGAAGAGCCGCGGTATAGATACCTCCGCAGCGGCGCCGCCCGACGCGACGCGAACGCTCCGCGAGGAGCTCGCGTACGTGCGTAACCTCCAGCGCGAAGTCCGCGACTTGCGCGCGCTTCGCGCGAAGCTCGAGGCGCTGCGCGAGGTCGCCGCGTCCGCGGCGCCGCCCGTGCTCCCGACGATCGAGCGCCGCCTGACGTACCTCGCGCCGGACGGCCCGTACCGCGACGCGGTGCGGCAGAGCCTGGACGACGCCATCTTGCCCGCGTTCGAGCGGGAGGTTTTGCCGCGGCTGCCGGAGGGGGTGAGGTGCGTTCTATACACTGGTTCCCATCCGACCGCGTTCGCGTGGTGAACGCCGATCCTTAAGGACTTTTCCCGGCGTTTCTCTCCGCCCACCCCTCGCTTCCAATCCCCGTCCTCGATCCCTTTCAACTCCAACTGACGCCTTTGAACTCCACCCCGACGTTCGCTTGTATGGAACGGCCCTGAGGCGACGCGTCGGCGCGCGCGGGCCGGAGACGGCGGCGACGCGCGCGGAGCGGCTCGAGCGGCTGCGCGTCGTCGGGGAGGCGCTGAGGGGCGTGCAGGGGGAGTTGGAGGCGCTGAGGGGGAGGCTCGCGGGGGAGGAGGTTGGGGCGGGAGACGGCGACGAGGAGTGATGAGCGATACGGAGGCGGCGGCGGCCGGCGGCCGACGTTGCGTTGATTGATAGATTGACGACGCCTTTTAGTGATGACACGGTTAGTAGAACCGATCGAACGCGTCATCAGATCCCCCCGCGCACGGCGGCAGCGTGATGGGGTCTCGTCATCGCACGCGCGGCGCGACGAAGGCGTCGTGCGCGTCCGTCCCCGCGCCGACGATATCCCTGGAGCGGCTGCGCGCGAACGACCGCGGCGCGCTGCGCGCGTTGCGAGATGCGCTCGTCGTCGCGCCCGGCTTTTTTAATCTCGACGCGTCGAACGCGCTGCCGCCCGCGCTCGTGCGCGAGTGCTACGAGGTCGCGCGCGCGTTCTTCGCGCTGCCGCTGGACGCGAAGGCGGCGTACGTGCACACGCAGTACGACCGCGAGACGGGAGGGTGCGCGGCGTTCGAGCGTCGTCGTCGTCGTCGTCGTCGTCGCGCCTCGGAGCGCGCGCGCGTTTTTCATTTCATTCCCGTGGTCATCGTTCTCTTCATCAACTAGTAGAGCATCTAACGCTCATCGCGCTCGTCGCCCCTCTCGAACAGGTACGTCCCGCTCCTCGAGGAGTACGCGTACCAGCCGAACACCGCGGCGATGGTCGAGTCCTTCGACGCGTGCCGCGACCTCCCGCTCTCGCACCCGGCGCTGCACGACGACGACGACGCCGTCGGCGTCGGCCCCGTGGATTGGCCCGCGGAGGCGCCCGGGATGAAGGTGCGTTCTATCTCACACTGGTTCCCATACGACCGCATCGGCGTGGTGAACGCCGTTTCTTAAGGACTTTCTCTCCCGGCGTCTCTCCACGCCCAACCCTCGCTTTCAATCCCCGCCCTCGACGCCTTTCATTTCAATCTGACGCCTATGAACTCCACCCCGACGTTCGCTCGTATGGAACGGCCCTAAGACGGCGTTCGCGGCGTTTTACGACGCCGCGGACGACGTCGCGCGGGACCTGTTCCGCGCGCTCGCGAGGGTGTGCGTCATGAAGGACGAGGATGGGGACGAGGAGGAGGACGAGGATGAGGAGGCCGCGGCGGCGAGCGAGCTGGCGAGGCACTTTTTGGAGAACTTCGGACCGACGTCGCACTGCAGCTTCCGCGCGTTGCGGTATCCGGGCGCGGCCGACGCCGAGGCGCGTTCTACACACTGGTCCCCATACGACCGCGTCGGCGTGGTGAACGCCGATCCTTAAGGACTTTTCCCGGCGCGTCTCTCCGCCCACCCCTCGCTTTCAATCCCCGCCCTCGACGCCTTTCAACTCCATCTGACGCCTTTCAACTCCACCCCGACATCGCTTCGTATGGAACGGCCCTGAGGTGGCGTCCATCGCTCGCGGGATGGGGACGGACGACGACGGCGCGAAGAAGACGAAGAAGAGACGACGCATATCAAGCGACGAATATCGATCGATAACCCCCGTCGGCATCGCGGAGCACACGGACTTCGAGGCGTTCACGCTGCTGCACCAGACGCGTCCCGGGCTGGAGCTCAAAGATCTCGCCGGGACGTGGCGCGACGCGTCGTGCGCGCCGGAGTCGTCGACGTTCACGGTCATCATCGCGGACGTCATGGAGCGGTGGACGGGGGGGTTGCTGACCGCGACGCCGCATCGCGTGGCGTTTACGCCGCACGAACGCCTGTCGCTCGTGCGTTTCAACGGGCTGGACCCCGGGACGGTCGTCGAGACGCTGCCGGCGTTTCGCGGACGCCCCTCGCCGACGCACCGCGCGGCGACGACGACGCAGGGCGAGCACGTCGGGCGCATGGTCACCGCCGCGGCGAAGAACCTCGAGGACATGCTCGAGACGTACCCGAAGCGCGCGCTCACGACGAACCCGAGACGGTTCGCGCAGCTTATCGTCACGCGGGGGCGGGAGGCGCGTTCTATAATTGGTTCCCATACGACCGCGTCGGCGTGGTGAACGCCGATCCTCAAGGACGTTCGCCGTCGCCTCTCTCCGCCCACACCTCGCTCATAATACCCGCCCTCGGTGCCTTTCAACTCCGCTTCTGACGCCTTTCAACTCTACCCCGACGTTCGCTCGTATGGAACGACCCTGAGGTGCTCCTCGGGAAGCACGCGTCGGGGGAGTTCGAAGGGCGATGGACCGGGTTCATCGAGGAGGTCAAACCGCGCGAGACCCCCGCGCGCGCGGCGCTGCGAGCGGTCGCGCGCGGGAACTTGCGATGGAACTTGCGATGGGCGGCGGCGGCGGGGTTGACGCGCGACGCGGTGATGGAGGCGCTCGAGTCCAATACGCACGAGCGCGCGAGGCTCAGGTTTCGCGGGTGGCACGACGGGCTGGTGATCGAGCACGAGTTCACGTTGGATCTTGACGGCGCGGACGGCGCGTCGTTGATTCCCGAAGACGACGACGACGACGAGTCCGACGAGTCCGACGCGCCCGCGCGGATGCGCCCGAGGTGGTTCGACGAGGGCGAGATTCCGTACGACGAGATGCCCGAGGACGACCGACACTGGTACCCGCGCGCGTTGGCGTTGGCGCGCGAGTGCGGCGGCGGGAATGCCGCGGCGGGGACGAAGCCGGGGTGGAGGGAGCTGATCGTCGGCGAGTTTCGGTTCGGCGGGGACGACGCGCGATTGGTGTCGAAGACGTTGGAGAGGATCGCGACGGACGCGTAGGTAGTGTAGTCGTCGTAGATGTAGGCATTCAAACGAGAGGACGTGCTCGTCTAGCTAGTTTACGCCGCCGGTTGGGTGAGTTTGCGGAGGCATTTTGCCGCGATAACGACGCCCTTCTCCGCGGCTTTCGTGTACCACTCGATGGCCTTGGAGATGTCTTTTGTCACGCCGAGGCCGTCTTCGTAGAGGATCCCAAGGTTGATTTCCGCGTTAGTGTATCCTTGAGCGGCCGATTTAGTGTGCCATTTGAACGCCTCCTCGTATCGCCCCTTCTCGTAGTGACATCTGCCAACACCGTTTTGTGCCGCGGCGTGACCCTTCGCGGCTGCCTTCTCGAAGTATTGCATCGCCGTGTCGAGGTTTCGCTCCACGCCGACGCCTAGAAAGTAGAGGCACCCTAACATCCTCTCACACTCAGTGTTGCCAAGCCGTGCACCCTTCTGATACCACTCCAGCATCTTAGGGCTGAACTCGAGCGCGGCCGGCTGCGCAGACACGACTTTCGACGCCCTGCGCCACACGGAGCTCACCTGGGAGAGGGCGACGCGCGTTCGGACGTCGTTCACGTGCGAGAAGACCACGCTCGCGAGTTGCTCGTTGACGTCGAACGTCGGTGTCATTGATTCGACGACATCAGTGAGCTCGGCGAGCGCCCTCCGCGTCGCCGTGAGCTCCGCCCCGACGCGTTCGAGCTTTTCTTCTTGCTTTTCGAACCGCGCTAAAAGGAGGCGAAGGACGTCGCCCGGGGAGACGTCGTCGTCGACGTCGACGCTCGGCGCTTCGCGCGCGGGCGGATCAACACGACGGCGCTTAGATTCGTTGCTCATGACGCCCTCGATCGGTCGCGAACGTGCGGCGGCGCGGGAGGAACTGGCGCGGGACGACGTCGTTCGCTCCTAGACAAGTTGTAGTTTTTGTGCAAGCTGGCAGCAGTTGCAGCAGCAGCCAGTCGCGCCTTTTCTTCACTCCGACCCGCGCGCCTTCGTCGTCGAGTCGCGCCGTCATGGCGAAGAAGGACAAGCCGAGGAAGCTCACGAAGAAGGAGCGGAAGGAGCTCGAGGCGCGCGCGGCGCGGGGCTTCCCCGAGCCGCCGACCGCGCCGCGAGCGCCGGAGGACGATCGCGCGGCGACCGGCGAGATCCAGCCCGCGTTTTCGGATCCGCCGTCGCGCCCCTCCGCGTTCGCGCCGACCGCGGACGACTCGGACAGCTCCGACGCGGAGTACACCGCGGGCGAGGGCGCCGCGCCGGACGCGGACGACGCCGCGGGCGCGTCGAAGCCGAGCAAGCTCGCCGCGCTGCTGAAGAAAGGCATCGTGATCAACAAGGAGGAGGATCCGAGCAGCGCGCGACGAGACGCGAGGGATGCGGCGACGCCCGTCGCGATGGGGCTCGCGCCGCCGCCGCTGATGCCGCCGCCGCGGAGCGGGTCGCAGTCGTCGATCGCGCCGCCGCCGCCGTCCGCGCCGCCGTCCGCGCCGCCGCTTGTTCCGCCCCCGGCGCCGGCGGCGGTCGCGCCGCCGACCGCGCCGCCGCCG